GGCTTTTATTGTTTTAAGAAATGTTCCTTCTATTCCTATTTTCTCCAGAGCTTTTAGCATGACTGAATGTTGAATTTTATCAAAGGCCTTTTCTGCATCTGTGGTGATAATGATGTGATTCTTGACCTTGGCTCTGTTGATGTGTTGGAAGACATTCATCTTTCTTTTTACTACCTTTATAAATTATCTTTAAATAGTTGTACAAAGGGTTTCAGTTGAACAACTTGTGTGTGTGTGTGTGTGTGTGTGTGTGTGTTTGATAAACTCAGGGCCTGTGTGCCTTCCCTGAGATTTTATTTTGCTCAAGCCTAGTGCCCTACCATTTAGTTACAGCACCACTTCCATCTCTTTGGTGATTAATTAGAGATATAAGCCTCATGGACTTTCATGCCAAGTTGGCATTGAACAATGAACCTCACATCTCAGGCTTCTGAGTTGACAGGATTATAGGCATGAGCCACTAGCATTTGGCTGTTTTTAATCTTAAAAAAGGAAAGTTTTAATTGTGGCTACTTACCAATCTACCCATTTTTGATATAGTGTATATTTAAACAATTATATAAGAATTCCATTATTATTATACTGAAAATTACAGGCTAGAAATATTAATTATATTTTAGCATTTCTTAGACATGCTGAAAACTTGTAAGTTTTCTTAATACCAATATCTGGGTTAGAGGAATAAATAAAATCAAGTTTAATTTGGGAAAACTTTATGCACATATGTTTAATATTCCAAAATAACTTTTTCTTATTATAAGTTACTTTTCTTTGGTTTCAGTGTCAAATTTAGCCTTAACCTTCATACTTTGTAAGAGTGCACAAGTCCAATAAAGAGAATAGTTGCTCTGGATACACTGGAAAGATTCTACTTCCAAAGTTGTAAAGTTCATTTTTCGACATAACGACTTGTATATCTCATTGTTGCAATGGGTCCACCTGTATCCCTATTTAAATGATTTGTTTTTCCCCTTCCCCTCCACAAATTCAGAACTCTAATAATAACAGATGTATGTAATTTTTACTCACATATAAAAACCTCTAGTTCCAATCTAGCTTTGAATTTTCTTTCTTTTTCTTACGAATTTTCATTAGTACATGTTAGCCATACGAAGGAAGGGGTTCATTGTGACATTTCCAAGCATACACACAACGCATGTATCTCCATATAGGTAAATGAAGCGTTTGGACACTGTTCATCTTCATCTACCCTCTCAATCCACCTATGAATTTCCATTTCATTTTATTTATTTTATTTTTGTCAATCTGGGGTTTGAACTCTGGGCCTGGGTGCTGTCCCTGAGCTCTTCAGCTCAAGGCTAGTGCTCTGCCACTTGAGCCACAGCACCACTTTTGGTTTTCTGGTAGTTCATTGGAGAAAAGAGTCGCATAGACTTTCCTGCCCAGGGTGGCTTTGAACCGTGATCCTCAGATCTCAGCCTCCTGAGTAGCTAGGAGTACAGGCGTGAGCCACCAGTGCCTGGCCTACCCTATGGATTTTCAGTAGCATCTAGTATGGTTCTGCCTGTTCTCAGCACACGGTTCATTTGTTTCCGATTGTGGAGCTGCTGTGCCTGTGGCTCTTCATCTGGTAGGTTTCTATTTTCTGCTCTTCAAAACCAAATCTCCTTCACAGTACTTCTTGCTTTTGCCATTTCACAGAATATCAGGAAGAAACTTAACAATACCATGCTCCTTTTTTTGCTGGTATTATATTTTGAACTCAAATCCCTGAGCAATATCCCTTAGACTTACAAGGCTGCCTCTTTACCCCTTCAGTCACAGCTCTACTTTTTTTTGTGTGATTAATTGGAGATAAGAGTCTCATGGACTTACCTGTTCAGGCTGGTTTCACACTGCAGTCCTCAGCTCTCAGCCTCCTGAGTGGTTAGGATTGCAGGTGTGAGCCACTGGTGTCTGGCCCCATGATCTTTGTCCATATTCACACTGGGCTCTTTCAGCTTCCAAATGAAAAGCTCTTAGCACTTATTTATTTTTAAGGAGATTAGATGTTGTTGGCGTCCAGATCCCTTGTTTCTCTTGTGTGTACAACAAGGTGAAGGAAGGATGTAGGGTATGATCCTTTTCAACATGGACAAAGAAAATGTGCTCTGTCTTCATAGGAGAACAAAGGGAAAGCCACTCATTGGTCACCTTTTCCTAAAAGTAGATGAAAAGAAGATGATTTGCAGAGGGCACAAAGGGCAGAAATGGATCATTTGTCTTACAGCATTTTATAGTGAATGTTATCGAACCCAAAGCAATGTTTGGAATACCATTTGGTAGTTCCTTTTTTTTTTTTAATGTGACAATCACTTGTTCATAGCTTTGGATTTTTTCTAAGGGGATTTCCCTCCTCCTTCACTTTGGTGCAGGTTTCTGGGTCCGGATAGAAGTGGCATGGCCCTTATGGCAGTTGACCTTCTCAGTGGCTTTACTGTGCCGTTAGAAGACATTCCTCTGAGCGACACAGTGAAGAAAGTGGAGCATGATCACGGGAGGCTCAACCTTTACTTGGATTCGGTAAGCAGGGATGTGATTGTCTCCTAAAGGGCATTGCTGATTACGCTGTCTCATTGTGTTCAAAAGTCTATTGCACTCTGCGAATTGAAGTCTTCTGCATTCTTGATGAGCCCGAAGAAGGTCTTAATAACTAAAGCTATTTCTCCATCCCTCCCTCCCTCTCTCCTTCTTCCTTCCTTCCTTCCTTCATTCTTCCTTCCTTCCTTCCTTCCTCCCTCCCTCCCTCCCTCCCTCCCTCCCTCCCTCGATCCATGCCTCTCCTCTCCTTCCCTCCCCCCCCCTCTTCGCCATTCTCCCCAACCTCACCTCAAAGCCCTTGTAGGAGCTATGACTAGATGCAGCAAGTATGATTGGAGGACATGCTCAGAGAAAGCCTGATACCAGCAAAAAAGTGCTGGTTTGTGTCTTAGCTTTATCCTGGGTTTGAACAAAGACACAGGATTCTGAGTACTGGACATTACACAGTGATCCTGTCCAAAACAGGATCAATGTCTTTCCTTTTGTGTGCCTAATTTCTACTTCATCCTAATATCCTGTGCCCTTTGACCTGTAAACCTACCATGTCCTCTTCCTCAGGACTCTCCTTTTTCTCTTGTACCCTCCTCCTCCTCCTCCCCCCGCCCCTGGCTTGAACTGGGGACCTGGGCGCTGTCCCTCAGCTCTTCAGCTCAAGGCGAGCACTCTACCACTTGAGCTACAGAGCTACTTCTGGTTTTCTGGTGGTTTATTGGAGATAAGAGTCTCATGGACTTTCCTTCCCCAGGCTGGCTTTGAATAGTGATCCTCAGATCTCAGCCTCCTGAGTAGCTAGGATTATAGGCGTGAACCACCAGTGCCCGGCTTACACTTCAGGCTTTTTGTGTTTATGTGGTGCTGAGGAATTGAACCCAGGGCTTCTTGCATGCCAGCAAGCACTCTACCACTACTTCACATTCCCATGCTTGTGTGTCTAAGTATTCTTTTTTTTCACTGTCATATCTTTTTCTCTCCCTCCTTCTCTCTTCCTCCCTCCCTTTCTCTTTCTTTCCTTCCTCATATCTTTCTCTTGCCTTCCTTCCTTCCTTCCTTCCTTGCTTGCTTGCTTGCTTCCTTCCTTCTTTTTTTCCCTTTTCTCTCATTTCCCTCCCTCCATCCCTCTCTCCTTTCTTCCCTCCCTTTCTTCCTTTCTTTCTTCTTTCCTTCCTTCCTCCTCCTTCTTCCTATTCCACGTTCCTTTCCCCTTCGGCTTCAATCTCTCTTCCTAGCTTTCTCCTTTCTTCCTTCCTCACTCTCTCTCTCTCTCTCCCTCCTTTCTTCTGTACTGAACATTGTACCCAAAGCTTCATTCATGCTTGGCTAGTTCTCTAGTCCCTTTAGTTTTATTTTGTTTTTGAGGTAGGGCCTTGTGTACTTTGCCTGAGATTGCCTTGAACTTGTGATTTTCATGCCTCTGCCTCACAATTCACTGGAATTACAGGCATATACCCCTCTCACCTAATTTTAAAGATGAAAACTTCAAATGTTTAAGAATGCTCCATAAAGTTCTTTGGCAAATCTCCAAATGGTTAAAATACTGGATTTGGAAAATAGGGTGTTTAAGTCATAGAGGAATATTATCAGAATATACCCATGCACCCTTCTTGTTGTTGTATGAATACTAATGATCCAAGAAAAAAGTACATAAAATATGTCAGGGAAATGTAGGTGAAGAATTCCAGTCTGTACTTGTTCTGTCTGAAAACTACATTAAATTCTACAGGTTGAATTGGAATTAAATTTTCTTGTATTAAATATTGCTTGAGCCAGGCACATGCCAGTTCATGCCTATAATCCTAGCTACTCAGATAGATGAGATCTGAGGATCCTGGTTCAGAACCATCTCAGGCAGGAAAATCTCCAATTAACCACTAGAATATTGGAAGTGGTGCTGTGGCTCAAAGTGATAGAATGTTAGCCTTGAATGAAAGAGGTCAGGGACAATGCCCAGGCCCTGAGTTCAGGACCCATGTCTGATGAACAACAACAAAACTGCTTGAAAGCCATGGGCCTGAAAGGAAACTTGAAAAACAGATTTAAAGGTTTTACTTAATAGTGTGATTGATTTTGGAGTTTGTCTTGTATCTGAAGTTAATGGTTCTCTGAATGCGAGTGCCCAATGATTTCTGATTACCTTTCCATTATGTATTATTGGTGATAAATGAAAACTTTGATTTCTTCATTGGAAGTGTTTGTTAAATTGGTACCTGGAGGCCGGGGGTGGGCCTTGTGTACTCTATATCTGTCAGTCATTGGCTGTGATACATTACTCATCCCCCGCCCCCCAACCACAATCCCACACAGTAAAACGCAGCTGAAAACAACTTCTCTCTTGCACTATTTTGTTTCACTAGTGAGATAAGATCATTTATAGGAATTTCTTACTGCAGTACCAGTTGCACAGAATCCTACCTAAATGTTAATTTCTATTTATTTTCCCTGGGTTGGGGGGAGTCTCCTATGTTATTGTGCAACCCCTGAAGTTTTTTGTATTTTTCTCAAGGTGAATGAAACCCAGTTTTGTGTTGATATTCCTGCTGTGAGAAACTTCAAAGTTTCAAATACCCAAGATGCTTCTGTATCCATCGTGGATTATTATGAACCAAGTAAGTGAGGCCTGTGTTCTTGGCATTTTAGAAATTAAGCTGGCTGTGCCTTCATATGTGCAGTTAAAATGGCTGCTGATTCCAATAGGGTTATAGGGGATTTGGGGGAAAATCTAGGAGGTGGGATGCAGGCAGTGAGCTTTCCATGTAAAGGAAGACTTGATCGTTTATCAGGGCCACATAATAACATTAAGCATATGAATGCTAAAAAGTGACATTTCTGCTTATAAGGTTGTAGGTTTTTAAACTCATGTTTATAAACTCTACAAAAAAATGGGTACAGAGTGCAGTTCTGTTTATTCTCCAAGGATTTACTTCTTTCCAAACATCCATCTGACTCCTGCTGTAAAGGAGCAGTTCTTCAGGAAGGAAATTCTTCAGGTATTATAAAAGCTTTGTTCTTAGCATGCTGGGGTCTCTCACCTATAATTCTGGCTACTCAGGAAGCTGAGATCTGAGGATTGTGGTTTGAAACCAGCTGGGGCAGGAAAGTCTGTGAGACTCTGATCTCCAGTTAGCCACCAAAAAAGCCCAAAGTGCAGCTGTGGCTAAGTGTTTGTGTGTGTGTGGAGGGGTGAGGTTTGGGGGGGTGTTTATGTGCTGGTCCTGAGGCTTAGACTCAGAGCACTGTCCCTGAGCTTTATGTGAGGTATCAGTACCTAGCTTGTGTGTGTGTGTGTGTGTGTGTGTTTGTGTGTGTTTAGAATAAATCCCAGGAGCCAGGCACGAATGGCTCATGCAGTAGCATGAGTACAGGAGGCTGACATCTTAGGATCACAGTTCAAAGCCAGCGTGGGTAGGGAAGTTGTGAGACTCTTATTTCCAGTTAACTACCAAAAAGTCAGAAATGGGGCTGTGGCTCAAGTTGTAGAGCACTAGCCTTGAGCACAAGAGCTCAGGGACAGAGCCTGGACCCTAAGTTCAAGCCTCAGGATTCACACACACACACACACACACACACGCATAGACACACACACACGCACACACGCATACACACACACACAGAGTCCATGATATATCTATTTTCGGTAATGTAATGATGAGAATTTTATTTGAATGCACAGAAAATGTCATCCTAAAATAAACCTTTGAGGAAGTTAAAAACAATTCTCAATTTAAAAATGATGTTATTCCAGTAAGAGAGTAGAGTTCACAGGCAGAGAGCGACTATAGTCTATTTGCTGGCCAGCCACTGGTGGAGATATGTTGGACTGAACGCACTGTTTTTTTTTCTTCTTGGGTTTGGTTTGTAATTTGGGTCTCTCTTGGGCATGTCAGTTGTTTCTTGTAAGGCAAAAAAAAAATTAAAAATAAAATTGTCTAAAGAAAAAAGGAAAATTCACATGAATGTATGGAATTGCTCTTGTATTTTGGTAAAACCAGTGTTTCTGAATGAAGGATGTAAACTGATGTGTGCCCTTTGAACAGGGAGGCAGGCGGTGAGAAGTTACAACTCCAAAGTAAAGCTGGCTTACTGTGACATTTGTGGAGACTCGGAGGGCTGTGATGGCTGTGCGAAGACTTCCGGTTACCCTGGTCATTCTCCGGTCCTCTTCCTTTTCTCCTCCATGCTTCTCTTCTCTTTATCTTATTGGCTGTGACTGATTGTCTAAGAACTCAGTGTAAAACTTAACATTTCCAGACATCACATGGGATTGTTTTGGCTTTCATAATTGATGCCTGCCTCTGATTATTGTGAGAAACGCTTGCTTTTTCCATGGGATAGGGTTTCCACAACAAGTCCTCATTTGTCGTGTTGCATAGATTTTGTTTTTTGCCATCCAATCATTGTGTGGAAGAAAATCAGATGATTACAGTCATATATTTTTATTTCTCCCTCTTCAAATCTTTTAGGACTATTTTTTTTTGAGGGGAGGGCTGGGAAATGTTGGTTGTCTTGAGAATAAAATTATTTTAGATTCTTTGCTTTTTGTAAAAGACATGACCTAGGTGTTTAAAGACTGTTGTACTTTGCTTTAGTATGAAAGCTGGGTTTCCCCAGGGAACTAGTGGGAGCAGCTTCAACCTTCAACCTAGCCTGCTGCCTACCATCTCCCCGTGGATCAACTCAGTGGATCTTCCTTAATGGACATTGCTTCTTTCTTTTTAGAGACTATAGATGGTGAATTACAAAGTTAAATGGTCTTCTTCCCCACTCCACTGATCATATACCTAGCTTTTACCCTCCTTCTCTTTTTGTTCTGGAGCAACTTGTCCTAGCTCAGAAGGTGAGGACTCACTGAAAACTTGTCTTTATGGGAACTGGACAGTCTCTCCTTTGCACATGCTCAGCTTCCCAACACCAGCTGTGTTTCAGGACTGAGATACAAGAGCAATGAAAGATGTTTGTGCCTTATGTGACTGGGACCAGGAGAACCCAAGCCAGGATTCATTGTGGACCAGGCCTACAAGAGATGCTTCACAAACCTCAGCAGCTCCACTTCGCTGTGATCTGGGAAGGAAGTGGAGGTTGACTGGGCAGGGAGAGTCTTGTCCATGACTGAACTGAAGTATTATGGTGTTGGCTAGGGTTCTACACATGTTCCAGACCTCAGGGTCTGGGCATCAGACACCCAATTGTCTAGTGACATTTGGTGCTTGCTGTGAATCTTTAAGAAGATTCCCTAAATCTAAACACCTGGATCATGGTTGTTTATTCTGAAGGGGAACAGTCACTTATCTGGGTGAGAATTTTAAAAACAAATCTTTTCTTGTTATTTCCATTCTTCTTGTCTTTCTTTTCTTGTCTTTATCCCTTTCTTTTTACTCTTCAGATTATATTGAGATTTTGTGTGTGTGTGTGTGTGTGTGTGTGTGTGCGCGCGTGCAAGGGTGCCAGTATTAGGGCTTGAACTTAGGGCCAGGGAGCTCTCCCTTCTCTTTTCTACTCAAGGTTGGCACTCATTTGAGCCACACCTCCACTTCTGGCATTTTGCTGGTTAATTGGAGAGGAGAGTCTCACAGCTTTGGCTGCCTAGGCTGACTTTGAACTTTGATCCTCAGATCTTAGCCTCTTGAGTACCTAGGATTGTAAGTGTGAGGCAGGCTGATATATTTTTGATATATGAAAAACTTAAGGCTCTTTAAAAGCCAAGAAATGGCTTAATTTTCCCCCTTAACTCTATGGCTTTTTGTCTAAGTAGACATGGAAAAATAATTGCCATAGGCTTCAAAGAAATGGCTTTATATTATTTTCAGCAATGTAAAAATAAATCTATCAAAGCAATATACACAAATATATATTTTACAATCAATTAAAAAGATTGCTATTATTTTGTGAGTTTTTAAAAAGTTATAGTAGAGTGGATATTTATGTACCACTTACAGATATTTTTGTTACCAAGGGAGGAGAGATCAAATCATTTTATTTTATTTTTTTGTACTGATCCTGGGACTTGAATTCAGGGCCTGGGTGCTGTCCTTGAGATTTTTTTTTGCTCAAGGTTACTACTCTTCTATTGAGCTACAGTTCCATTTCTGATTTTTTGGTGGTTAATTGTAGATAGGAATCTCACAACTTTCCTGCCACGGCTGTCTTTAAACCATGAGTCTCAGATTTAAACCTCTTGAGTTGCTAGGATTACAGGCATGAGCCACTAGCTCCCAGCTTCAAATCATTATTTTAATGCTTATATCCTGTTAAGGTAGTCAACAGTCTCCCAGAGGTAATCTGTAAAGAGAGTGGCTAGATATTAAAGAAAATTAAAATTTCTATTTTCAAGTGAAGAAATGTTGTCCACTCTTATACCTTAGAACCTGTCTGTCCTAGAAACAAAAGCAGATGTTACATTTGGGCCTTACTGTGTTGATGTCTTGGCCTTTCTTTTTGGTCAGTTGTGGGGCTTGAAGTCAGGGCCTGGGCACTGTCCCTGAGCTTTCTTTGCTCTAGGCTAGTGCTCTACTACTTTGAGCCACAGTGCCGTTTCCAGTTTTCTGGTGGTTAATTGGGGATAGAAGTCTCATGGCCTTTTCTGCCCCAGCTGCCTTTGATGTGTGTTATTCAGATCTTAACCTCCTGAGTAGCTAGGATTACAGGTGTGAGCCACCAGCACCAGGCTCTTGGCCTTTTCTATTTTTCTTTCTTCCCTTCCCTTTTTCCTCTCTCTCTCTCTCTTTCTTTTTATGCCTTCATTGACTTAGAAACTTGTTGAAATTATAGTAAAGGAAAAAAAGGAACAGTGTAAAAATAGCATGCAAACACCATTCTCCAAAGGAATATATAATTAACCCTATGTATCTACTGTTCCTACATCTGTGGGTTTTCTTTATTAAAGAAATATCTGGGATTTCTTCCAGAAGTGAACTCATAAGGAAGTTAGGGCAGCATCTTGATATCACTGCCTAGAGAAACTTGTACTGACTCCGAGTAACTTACATTCTGCACTAAATAAACTGGCCAGAAAGGAAAGACTACTAGAAGATAGACTGTCTCTATGTTAAATCATAACTTATTTAAAAAGTAGAATTCAGTTGGGTGCTGGTGGCTCACACCTGTAATCCTAGCTGCTCAGAAGGTTGAGATCTGAGGATCTCAAGCCAGCCTGGGCAGGAAAGTCCCTGAGACTCTTAACTGTCAATGAACCAGCAAAATGCCAAAAATGGAGGTGTGGCGCAAGTGCTAGACTTGAGCAAAACAGCTCAGGGACAGTTCAAGCTCCAGGACTGGGACTAAAATAAAAGTGAAGTATAAAGGTAGAAATTTGCCAGGCATGTTCAGGGAAGCCCTGGATTTGCTCTCTGATCCTCAAAACCACAAACAGCAAACAGATTTTTATGTACACACATACTTCTTCATAAAGTTCTTTAGATTTTCAGGTTAAATGGTAGTGACTCAATTCTGACTATAATAAATCTACTAGCAGTTGAGAGGAGGCAGTGGAGAAGGAAAGAAGCTTTGTGACCCTGCCTGGAAGTGGACAGGGTTGTGGAAGTTGTACTAGTGTCTTCCTGTTTCATGTCTTAGCAGATTTATTCTGCCATAAGCAGGAGGTTTGTAGTAGAAGTGATTAAAAGACTATGGGAGGGAGAACATGGAGTAATCATAATGAATAGTGTAGATTATATTCATGCTATGAGAAATACTACTAAAAAACTCATTATGTTTTCTCATGCTGAAACCTGTCTATAGTTGTACATATTGCCATGAACTAATTTTATGCCCTTCCTTCTTCACTGCCTGGGAATTCTGTTAAGAAGCCAGCCCTTAACAGTTCTGATTTTTGACTCTCTGGTGGTTTCATAGACTGAGTGTTGGGAATAATCAGTTCTTCAGAGTGGGGTGCTGGTAGCTCATGCGTGTAATCCTCCTTACTCAGGAAGCTGAGATCTGAGGACTGTAGTTGGCAGCCAGCCCAGGCAGAAAAGTCTGTGAGACTTTTTTTTTGGGTCTGGTCGTGAGGCCTGAACTCTGGGCCTGGGCACTGTCCCTCAGCTCTTCAGCTCATGGCTAGCGCTCTACCACTTGAGCCACAGCGCCACTTCTGGCTTTTTTTTCTGCTTATGTGGTGCTGAGGAATCCAACCCAGGGCCTTATGCAGTAAGGCAAGCACTCTACCACTGAGCCACTTTCCCAACCCCTGTGAGACTTTTATCTCCAATAAAATACTCAGAAAAAGCCTGAAGTGAACTGTGGCTCAGGTGGTAGACTGGAACAGCCCAGTCCCTGAGTTCAAATTCCAGGACTGGGATTTGAACACAGACACACCAGACATACTCCACAACTGTACAACAAAATGATACCTTTATATTTGGACTCATCATCTTATTATCATTGTTATGATTCTTATAATGAAATAAAGCTTATTAACGTACTTTTTATTATTTGTCGCATAGCATTGTGCTTTTCAAAATATCCTAAAAGTCTTATCTTTGGTTTAGTATTTTAATTATGCTATAATAGGAACATTGTATTTGAATAGACTATAGATGTATCATTATTACATAGGAATTTCTTACTTACATATGCAATGAATAACTTCCCATGCTCCTAGACTTTTGAGTGATTTTTGTTTTTCTTGTCAGTTCTGAGGCTTAAACTTTTGAATGATTTTTTTGTTTGTGTGCTCTGTCCCTGAGCTTTTTCTACTCAAGGCTGGTGTTTACCACTGGAGATACAGCTCCACTTCCAGCTCTTAGTAGTTATCAGAAATAAGAGTTTTATGGACTTTTTTTTTTTTTTTTGCCCAGGCTGGCTTTGAATCATAATCCTCAGATCTCAGCCTCCTGGATAGCTAGGATTACATGTGTGAGCCACCAGTGCCCTGCATGACTGTTTTCTTAAAAGTCTTATCTACTTTCTATTTATGCTTATGCTAAATATAGTTATAAACAGTCTGGCATATAATATAATTATCTTTATTTTGAAACAGTTCAGTTATTTCATTTGACGTTTTGGACTGATCCATGACATTTAAGAGATGGGCTTTTTCCCCATTTTTTAAAAAAGAGCCCTTTGATTAACTGTTGACACATAATCTGGAGTTCTTTGTAACTTTCCCTTTTCTAATTTGCTTTGTTGAGCTATTGAATACTGACTTCCATAAAAGTGTGTTATAAATACTTCCTTGGCAAGACTTCTCAACTTAAGGTGATAATGTTTAGC